GTGTGTGTGTGTTTCTGTGTGTGTGTGTGTGTGTTGACCTCAGTAGCACTTGATTCACTTCCTGTGAACACCTGAGCTCAGAGCAGCTGCAGGCTGTCACAGATCAGAACACCTGAGACTCGTGGGTCTCTGTGGCTCCGCCCCCACTCCTTTAGACGCACTGTATTCTGCTCCAATCACGGAAGATTCACATTAGGTACCTATTACCTTGCAGTACTGACCTTTGACCTCTGAGTCAGTCCACTTAACAACAGCATAACAACAGCCTCAGCAAGCTTTAAACTGTGCAGCACTGTCATCGCTCAGTTCCTGGCTTTTCCAGGTGGAAACACACGTCTTCTCACTCTAAATATAAACAGCTGTCCTGTGAGCTGAGTCATAAACCTGCAGATGAACCACGGCAGAGTTTGATCTGCTGTTGAGCTGCTGAGACCGACATGAGAAGATGAAGAGGTTAATGCTGATGAAGGTGACGTGGTGTTAGACTTCCTGGGATGTTTGACTTAAGCTTGATAAAATCTTGTGGCAGCTCCTGCAGGCAGACTCCCACTCAGTAGACAAAGTCAGCCTTTCTCTTTCTCTCTCTCTGTTTACTCAAGTAGCTCAGAAAAATGTACTGGTTCATTTCCAGTAACTGATCAGCTGACCGAGAGCAGTGATCACTCAGACAGGTGATGAGCACAGGTAGGACGGTAGTTTGGAAACGAGGCTCAACAGAAAAGTTCCCTGTGGTTTGTTCTTCTTCAGCTCTGATTTGGACTTCCTGCAGCTTTTATGTTATTTATTCTTATTTCCTGCTGTCTGCTGTAAATGTCAAAGGAGCATCTTCACACTGGGCCCTGCAGGAGCCCATCAGAGCTCCTTCAGACCTTTATCAGTCCTTATTCGTCATGGTCCGGGGTCTGTGACCAGCATTTTGTGTGAATTATGAACAGTCTTTGATTTCATTGTTATTTAGTTTCTAGTCTCTACATTCCTGTCTCTGTGCTTCCCCTGAGTTCCTTGTGTCATGTCTGATCCAGTTAAGTTGTCTCATGTTTCCTGTTTTACTTTGACAGTCTCGAGTGCCTGCCTCACGTTTCCTGTTTTACTTTTCAGTTTTGCTTCCCCCAGCCTCGTTGTGTGTCATTTCCTCGTTATCCCTCTACGATCACATGACCCCCTCAGAGGGGTCAGTTGTGTGTTTAAGCCCTTGTGTTCCTCTGTTTGTTGCCAGATCATCTACGTATTTCAGCGCATTTCCTGTTTTTCAGTTTTTACATCTCAAGGTTTTAAAGTTGTTTATACTTGTTTCTAGTTTCCTTCCTGTTTACAGGATGATGTCAGTGTAGTCATCGTACTGCGCTGTGTTTGTTCTGCCTCAACAAAAGGTGTGTTTTCAAGTCCATTGCCAGTGTTTGCATTTGGGTCCACACTCTCTCCACTCCACCCGTTTGCTACAACAGTTAGGTGGAGTGGAGAGTATTGTAATGTAGACCCTACAATAATAGATACA